GTAGTCTTGAAAAAAGGCCCATCTCAAAAAAGAAGCCCATCTTGAAAAGAAGCATATTCCGAAGTTCAAAAAAAAAGAAGCTCAGGGCTTCAATTCGAGGTTTTATGGTATGTAGTACTGATGTGCCTATATATGGTCATGATGTGATGTCATCATGACCATATTTAGGCAAGTCACATGTTTTTGGCCAAATAAAATTTGATAATCTAGACAGGACTTAAAGCATCGATGTTAACCATGTTTGACACATTGCATGCAACTTAGCATACGATTTCCACTCACTTGTTCAGTTCATATTGATCATGCTTAATCACCAACGACATATGCTCATCTGTCACACTCATAGATTATATTTATTCAATTTATTTTAATTTTTAAATCAATATTAACAGCAAAATTCAATTTATAAATGGTAGGATGGTAGGCTGTATAGAACAAAATAATATGTAATAAGACAATAAGTAGCCTTAGGCAAGACTATTATTACCTTGTTTCGGTGAACCTGCCAAAAATGATAATTTCAAGATTTTTTTTTGTCAGATAGAACACACACATTGCTGTGTAAAAATGAAAAAATGCAGGAAAGACAAAATTTGTTTCCTTTATATTTATTATTATGGCCGCTGCTGCCATGAGTCTCCCGATAAGAAATAGTGTTTTCCTCTTCACAAAAATTTGCTAAACAGGGTGCAAAAAACAGGTTTGCTGTATTGTATATAGTATAGATATAAAGGGATGGATTTATTCAGTGTAAATACCAAGGATAACCCACGAATGTCTGAATTATTTCTAGTGGAGATTATGTCTGGTAGGAGTTGGAGGTTTGGTCATTTAGGCTCTGTCAAAAGGGTCAAATTTCCTTTGACAAAAAATTTGCTATATGCCCATATATAGTCATGATGTGCCTATATATGGTCATTATGTGATGTCATCATGACCTTACTTCTAGGCATGCTGCATGTCAATTTGGTAGTCTGGGCTTTAGATTGTTTGTAAGTCCATTCATATGGGCAATGCTTAATCACCCAGAAGATCTGGTCATCCATAGGATTTATATTCCTTACCTTTGTATTCTAAATCCACCCAATAGTAAAATTGCAATTTGCAACTGGTACTCTTGTTGCTGGAATGCAAAATAGGTACAAACGACAAACAATTGAAGTGTTCATACATGAAATGGACATTAAAATTGTGGTGAGATAAATTTGAACAATAAAAGTCAATGAATTGTGTACTTGTATTTTTAATTGAGCAATTTAGTTCCAATTGGCAATTTGAACGAATCCAGTGCAGACTATCAAATTTTATTTGACAAAAACATGCGCCATGTTCAAATATGTTCATGATGACCCCATCATGACCATATATGGGAGATCTCGCCACAAAATGAGTCTCATGGTTAGAAATTCAAAAATTGAGTTTATATTATATTTGGGTAGATCACATTATAAGCTTTCATTTAGTCTTTGTATGGCTTCCCTACTGTAAGTAAATCCAGAGATGTGAGCATTTGAATTTTAGGTGTATAAGTACCACGTTTTGAGAAAATCAGCCTCAAAGATAAACTAACCTGTACAAATAATATGACTAGAATTATGTGCAGAGAACACTGTTTTGGCAAGAAAATTCACTTAGAAAGTATACAATCACAAAATATAAGTATCAAGTTATTCAAAAACATTAAAATCAAAATTTTGTAAAAATGTTGACTTTGGCCTGTTTTGGTGAATATCTCAATATGATTTCACCAACGATGCATCTCATTTTGTGGTGAGACTCACATATAGGCACATCATGACTATATATGCATACAACAGTTTTTTGTGGTCATGATGACATCACATCATGACCATATATAGGCACATGAATATATAAGGGCATGCAACAGTTTTTTGTCACATAAAATGTGATAGTCTTGGCAGGATGTTATTAACATACTGTAAGTTATTACATTGAATATTTGAGGGTTTTCAGATTTCAAAAGGTAATTTATCTTTATTTATTTATTTATTCACAATCTTTAACCAGTTTGGCTCAGTCATTCAAGTTGACTGGTTTTCTTGTGGCCTGGGTAATCCACTGTATAAAAGGTACAAAAAAGGCGAATATTTTAAATCCAAGGTACATGAATTTAAATACTATAAATATATAAATATATTTTTTTTAATTTATGACAATTCTATTATTTTTAGATGCCATAAAAAATCTTACCTACAGTAATGTCATATATTTTCAAAGTAATATAATTTTTCATTATTTTTGTATAGTTGTATTTATTGTTTTCCTTGTTTTTAATGATTTTAATGTGTTAATACATGACCACTTCAGAAATCACTCCTTCAGCAATGTAAAAAGTTATAAAATAATAATACTTCCTATTGTACAGTAGTAAATCTTATATCAACTCATCTGCATTCACATCTTTTGGAAATTCTTGTTTTCCACCAAAATCTCTGATAAAGTAAAATTGTCCAATTTCTGGTATTTCCTTTTTGCCTCTGAACTCGCAAATCACAACTCTGATGAGTATTTCCTGTCAAGTGAGGGCAGTGTTTAGATTAGGCTCTGTAGGTGTTACTTGCAACAAGCATTAGCCGCAGAAACCAGAAACCGTAAGATGGGGAAGTTATATCGGTATGGATTTGGCTGGTACCATCGAAACTCGTACAGGTAGGGCTAATTAGGATCTCGTATCTTTGGAGCTCAATCCTGAAATTGTTATTAATTGTTCTGTTATTGATAGGCTGCAATCCATACCGTAGAATTGATACAACTTGCAATTTTATAACAACCTGCAGTGTAGGAAATCCCTAGTAAATTGCTATATTAAAAGTCTTGCACACTTTATTGTCTAGCTAGGAGTAGGCTATTGGATTGCTTTTTGTGTCAATTTAAGGGTGAACTATTAAATTTGTTAGACAGAATTGTTTGTTATTAAACAGAACAGACTAAGTGTTTGTAAAGACTTTTGATGAATTAGAGCATTTTTTTGACTGCCAGTATAATATGGAAAGACAAACATTATGTTTGAGCAGATATGTTTGAAAAAAACATAGAGAACTAGACAAATAGGATTGAACATTGTTGAGTCAGATGAATGATGCTGATGATGCCCATAGCTGAAGTGAACCTCAAAGACAATGTGTGATCTTAATTACAAACATGTCCAGAATAATTTTGATATAAAAATATTTTGAATGAAATAAACAGACAGACATTATCTTTTTTACCCTGATAAAATGCAAATTATGGTTGTTGTTTTTTTGAAAAGCCATAATTAATAAGTTTACTTCACACTGCATACAAAACATACATCAATACCAACAATTAATGTTACAATTGTTAATCCAAGGTCATTAAATAATTTTTGAATATCAGTATTTCATAATAAAAAATTTTTTCAGTAGAATGAAAGATTTTAACATAATCACACATTCATTATTATGATTGTTATAAGGTACAATAAGGGCACGTAAAGAGACACATCTAGATGTGTATAAGAGACAGTATATATATATTATATATAATAATAATAAATTTAAGGCTAAGGTTTATAAATTTAGTTAAGTTTATTTTGATTGAGTTGGACTTTTTAACTTGTTTTATGCTTTGTTCGAGTATTGGAAAAAAAGGGGGGGAAAATTATAATGTTTTGTCTTGGCATTTTTTCTGGTAATATAAACATTATTTGAGTGTAGTAATTACTATAGAAAATCAAAGCATAAGGTAAACACGGTATTAAGTAAACTGTAGGGTATTATATACTAAGTAAATTAAATGGTAAATATAAGTATAATTCAGTGTAATAAAATTTTGTGAAATTGAATTAGTTTTAGTTTATTAGATGCCTCTATTAATTGAGTCATGCTGTGTTAAGTGCTTGCTGATAAATTGATAAATATTCAGATAATTGTTCCTAATTATATTGATCTATTTCATTATATTACACTAGGTTGCCTGGAAAATGTCACTATAGTAATATTATTATAATGTTTTTAATTATATTTTTTGTGTAAATCTTATATTTTGACAATTTTCTCAGCCATTAATTTTTTCATTTTTATTAGCATAATATTAATATAAATTGAAACAAAGCATTCCATTCATTTCCTTTTAAATTCTTTATTACTATTTTTGTTTTGTGTTCTTATTATTTCTGTCTTTAATTTTTCCTTTACTTGGAGTCTTCATTGACATTAGGTTTGCAATGCATGGCTATTCATGAGCCTTTACATGCATTATATTGAATGTAATATGTATTTGCTTCACAAATCCATCAATATCCACTATACCAGAAACAGAAAAAAATAACCAATAATAGTAATGGTGATATTTCTGTCTATCATCCTTTTGCATTCATTTTATTTTCACCTATTGTTCTAAAAACACTTCTCTGACTAACTTTGAGTCAGGCTACCTTATGTAATATCTGAGTAATCTTGAGTAACTTATTTTATACTTGATAATGTAATTTCCATAAAATTGTGATACACCCATTAATTTCTTAATAACTAAATTCTCTATTACAATTTTTGTTTTGTGTTCTAATATTGCTATTCTTAATTTTTCCATTGCTTCAAGTCTTTATTGACCATGGACCAATTAATAAGATTGATTATAGGTTTGCAATGCATGTCATCGTTGTTGATGATCTTTTTCTTGCTTTAATTTGGAGTTGAACAGCTTGAAGTGTGGTTGAGATGCCTTCTAATCCCAGGGTCCTGGGTTCAATTCCTCTGACAGCACGACTTTTTCTCATGACTAAAAACAATTCCACTCCCTAAGCATCATAAAATAATTTCTTCTCTGTCTTTTGTTTTATGTTCATTCTATTAATATTTAATTTTACCTTGCTTTAAAAACACCTGGCTAACTGTGAGTCAGGTTGCTTTATGTAATATCTGAGTAATATTTATTTGGATAATGTAATTCAACAGCTTTTATGATACATCCATTAATTTTTATACTAATTAAATCATTTTTTTTTCTATCTTTGACAGACCTTTGTCCAACAGTATGGCAGCAAGTAGAGACATGGATTCTGACTCAGCAATTGGAAGTAATATGGGGTCCATATCGGTAAGGATTTTCATCTTTTTAAGACCATATATAGGCACATCATGTCCTTATATAGGAACATCATGACTATATATGGACAAAAGTTTTTTTTTAAAAGAAAATATGATAGTTTGGACGGATCTTTAAAATTAAAATAGCAAAATAAAAAAAAAATTTAAAAAAAAGCCTCTAATATTTTTTATAGGGCCTAATATGGAATGCAATTTATTCTTATGGCTTTTAAATATGCCCCTCCATATGTTAATCACAAATCGCAGATGGATCACAATATCCATTCAAATGCTGATGTATCCAAATCCATTGAATTTTAGTAACTGCATTTTATAGAATATATAAATAAACAAAAATAAATAAGGTTGTTAGTACTGCAGTTTTTATTGTTACTGTATTTAACTGAAACACAGCACTGTTTACTCCATCTCCGCATGCCGTTTTATTCTTTATTTAGCAGTTTGTGTTAGCTTTGAACGCATTTATTAATACTTGTAATATAGTCCATACCCTACTCCAGCCTAGGCTAAGCCTGTAGTTGTCGCTCACTGGGTACCTGAAAAGGAACCAATCTCTTACTTGGTAGTCCTTGCTTAATCTAGTTCAGACAGGCCAGGATCTACTGTTGGTAGTTTTCCTGTCTTCATTAAATTACGTTAAAATTAGCGTACATCAATATGCTGCTTAACTGTATTAATTTCTGACTTAAAACTTCGGCATAGCAGAATATAGAGGTAGCGTGTTGGGTTGTAAAAAGTAAATACGCATTGATTGATGATTGGCATTGGTTGGTGATTAGTGAGTGAACAGATATACGATTGTTTACTGCTAGATTTAAATCACGCAATTACACCCAGCAGTTGTAGATAAGAAATGTGGGTGCAAAAGCAGCCATAGTGTTGTGGCACATTAACAAATAGCAGTATAAATGCTTTAGTTTCTGCAAACTTAGTTTGTTTTTCTTCGTCTAAACAGTATATTAAGAGGATGGCTTTTCTAGTAAACTGATATATCGAAGCCCTGTCACTGAGACCAACTGATACACATTGAGTGATAATTGGCATTGGTTGGTGATTAGTGAGTTAACAGCATATAAGATTGTTTACTCAGATTTAAATCACACAATTGGTATTACACCCAGCAATAAACCCAGACATAAGAAACGTTGCCGCTAAAGCAGCCATAGAAATACGGCATGTTAATAAATAGCAATATAAAATGCTTTAGTTTCTGTAAACTTAGTTTGTTTTTCTGTGTTTAAACAATAGGGGATGGCTTTTCTATTAAAACTGATATCAGAGTCCTAACACTGGGACCAACTTTATATAATTTCATTCCATTATTTGGTCCAAAGAACATTAAAACTGACAAATACAAAATAAAAGAGAGAGGAAAAAACAACACTAAGTTGGTCGGACACGATTGCCGAAAAGTGAAGTAAATCAATCTCTGATGCCAATGAGAACATAAATTAAATTAGCATAAAATAGTCAATTAAAAATATCATTAAAAATGTATAAAAATGTATACAAAATCATCAATGAAATTAGTCAAATTTAAAAAGATAAAACACAAGAATACAATAAAAATTGAAATACAAGAATTGCAGTGTGCTTTGCATTACAGTATATATTTCGAAGTACATGATGGTATCTATAGGCCTGTGGCTTAAGAAATTAAGTGCCATGTCTAATACAGCTAGTATTGACAATGGAACATAACATTGAAAATTAGTTTTGGCTTTCTTCTATTCTGTTATTTTTTAGACTAATTACTAATTTTATATTAATTTATTAATTGATTATTTTTTACAACTGGATTAAGATATTTAATATATTTTATTTGATGGAAATTGGTGGAGTATTAGCAAAGTTATGAATATTTAATTCATTGGATATCAGTCGTGTAGGTTTTGAGAAAACAGCTTCCAAAGATTCCAAAATCAATAGTGTATTATATGATTTGTATTTTTAAAGTAATTTTAATATACTTTTTAGTTAGATTTGGTGAATGATATTTTGCAGAAATCTTCTTCAATATATCTTCTTTTAAAAGATGCATAAACATGAAAATCTTCAAAATTCTAATTCTCAAACATTTTGGATGGTTGCGGGAAATTATAAATTGCGACAGACGGAGGGTTTTGCCAGAGCTGTTCTCATTTTTTTCCCTGGCAAAAGACAGCTAATGTTGGATGCTAGTTTTAACACAGGAAGATATGATAGCCTTTTCTTGTCAACAGAATTTACAAAACTTAGAAACAAGGTTGCTGTATATTAAACAAAAATGCATTAATACAGTGTATACTATGACAGATTTAATATTCCCCGGTAGTTAAAAGTTTAAATAGCTGGTTTTTACACTCTCAGGCACTTCCTTTTCCTTTGAAATTAGCTTACAGTATCTGCTTTACTTAGAATTATATAAACTCAAACAGGAATGCAAAAATTCAATTTTCTACTAAAGTGTGTCAAATATATAATAATAATAATAATAATAATAATGATACTAATAATAATAATAATAATAATAATTTGGTATACCCTTCGGTTTGGGTACCAGCTTGGTGTTTTTTTTTTTCTTATTTACCATTTTTTTGTCGTCTTTTTACTTTTTGTCAAGTGCATAGAAACCTTGTTTATTTGAGCTACAAAATATTATTGTTTTTAATTTAAATGTGTAATAATTTGATACAGTTTGGATGTTTAAAAGCGAAGAAATTTTTTCTTATTCTCATTTTTTAATTGGAAACTAAGAAAGTATCAAAACATTGAGTTTTTTTTTAGTCCAAAAAAAAATTATGTTTTTAAAGGGACAGTAAATAGAAATTTAAAAAAAATGCTTTTTAATTGGTGTGATTAAAAGTGATATTAAAAATTAATTAAAAAGAGTAATTAGGAATGCCTTGCTTTAATTGAAGGAAGGTTAATTATAATTGTCCTGATTGCTGTATTAAAAGGAAAAATGCATCATTATAGGAGGATATTAATAAGTAATCTTTTTTCTTTGTTGCCTGAAGAAAGATACAAAAATATAAATGTAATTATTTGAATGCAATATAAATCATTATAACATATTCATAAAATAATTTAAGATTAAATACATACAAGATTGTTCTAGTTTAAACTTGCATTTGGAACAACTTTTAGGAATTGTTTTTTTTTTTTTAAATATTTATTTCACTTCTATGTAGGGAAGATATAAGGGATCATATCTATGATGCATTCTGTGATAAAAAGGCATAAAAATTATATTTTATTATATAATTTACTGTTTTCAGTGATATAAAATCTTCAAATGTGATAAATATTATGAGCTAATTTTAAGGTCTCTGGAAGGATTTTTTTTTTGTGAAAAACAAATAACTTGATTCAAGTAAGGACATAACATATTAAAATTTTAAATCATTTTTTTTTGTAAATTATTAGACTATAGATTATAGTAAAATAAGTGATATATTTTAGTTTTATATAAGATTTTACACAATATATTTGTTTCTTTTAGTTGTTTCTTCTAACAGAATTAATAATTTACTTTTACGTACACCAGGGAAATGCGTCGATAAAATCCAGTATTCCAATTTGCATGTGTTGTGAACTAACCTGAAATGTGTTTGATCTAGTGGCAAAATTTTGGGCAGAGAAAACACAAGACAAGATTGGATGTCGTGTTCATGACACGACATCCATGCCCAATGAGGGCGCTGGTCTATCATAAACTGTTTGCTGTGTGGAAAAGATATCCATTGGAAAATTATTAAAGAAAACGGGAAAAAAATATCTATATTTTTAGGATATTCTTACATCAATACAATGTGTTATCAACATAGAGTACATTGTTATCCAATAAATACAGCCGACTTTCAGGGGAAAACTTTCTATTGTAGACGGCGAATATGAAACATTGTATTAATTACACAGAAATAACTTGCCTCTTATTGTTCTGGCCCATATTAATCACTGTAGTAATCGCTAACTTGCCTATGTTTTCCCTCTCTCTAGACACCCTTATCCTTATGTTTGTTATAAGTGTTTTCGCATCCCAACGGCTTCAGCCTCGTTGCAAAATAATCCCATCACGCAAGTTATCGTGCAAAGTCTGTGCAGTAATATTCATCTTAAAGGATAAAAAAAATAGGAGATTTCTAATTGTACTGAATATCCTTGTAACATAAGTCGGCCTTTAGCATCTCTTAACAAAGGGCGTCCGGCCTTTAATAGACTATATACAAAAGTTAGATTTGACATCAAAATGGCTCTAGGCTATAAAATGAAGAGCAACTGTTCAAAAAAGTATTAAACCAGTTGTTGGAAAGCTCCTGACTATAACTTGCCCTGTGACCAAATATATTGTCTTGTATGTATTGTCTTGTTTGTTACTTGTATAGAGCCTTTCTTTTCAGTTACAATGCGCTGTAAGCGACTCTCCACAATAAGTAAAAAACATCCCCCCTCAGTAAAGCTTGCAAAGAACCAAACCCAAGCAAAGTGTGCTAACTTAACTAAGGCAGTATTAAAGCAGTAGAAAATAGCTTTACATTTTATTGATATTCTCGGAGCCAGCGGCCAAATCAGTTTTAGTTTCAGGAATAGGATTAGTTTTTCTATAGTACACTTAGATTAAGTATTACTTTCTTGGTTCGTTTTTTCATGTTTATGTTAAATGCATAGAGGTCTCCATAATATGCGTTCTATACAGTAAGTCAACCATTATTATTATTATTATTATTATTATTATTATTATTATTATTATTATTATTATCATTATTATTATTATTATTATTATTATTATTATTATTATTATTATTTTATTATTACTAAATTAAATGTAAATGTAATTGAAAGAGTATCAGTATCTGTTTCTTTGCATGGAAAATATTTTCTTATTGTAATTTTTTAAATTGAAAGTAAACTGAGTTTACTTGAAAGAGTATACATATTCTCAATTGTTCAAAATATTAAAATATATTTCGATATTGGATGTTTTAGCTTCATTTTGTATTATTCTTT